ACACACACACACACACACACACACACACACACGGCGACCTCATTCGCGATCGGAGTGGCTTCCCTCGAATTAAGATGACCGTCCACTGCAGTTATCTGAATCGGGGTCATCCTCCACAACCTCTGCGCGAGCCTTGCGCTGGCGGATCTTTTTCTTTTTTTTTGCACCCGGTTCAGCGGTCTTCGGCTTGCGGGGCCTGCCACGAGCACGCTTAGGCTTCGCAGCAGCATCCTCCACCGGTTCCTTTCTCTTCCTCCCCACCCTGCTCACCCACAGGTTGTCATGTTGGACAGCCGGGTGTTTTCTTGACAGACTGTGTGGACACAACCGGTCATCCACGTTGCGCTGCATGTCCTGTTGATCCATGCCCTCCGCTTCTTCATGCTGTTCCATGGCCTCCTCCACTCCTTGACTCTCCATCCCCTCCTCGTCCTCTTCATGCTCCATCTCCTCCTCCTCTTCTTCGTGCTCCATCTCCGCCTCTTGTTGCTGCTCCATGTCGTCCTTGTCTTCTTGCTGGTCCTTCTCCTCCACCTCTTTGTGGTGCTCCGCCTCTTGCTGGTCCCCCTGCTCCGCCTTTTTTGGCTGCACCCTGTCGTCCCCCTTTTCTTGGAGTGCGACGTCCGCCACCTTCAAAACCGCTCCACTTTGCTGTTGCTCTTCCTCTTCTCGCTCTTGCACAACGTCCAATGGCCGACGCGTCTCCGGTTCCTTCTCCCCAACCTTCTTCTTGCGTCTCTCAATCTCCCTCCGGGTTGGGATTGCTGCACGTTGGGCATCCTCTTCCATGATCTGTTTTTGGACGGCATCTCTATCGCGATCTGCTAATGCCTTTGCACGATCGGCCTCCGCCTCATCTTCATCAACCGGACCACTTTGCAGCAGCAACTCAATGTCCGTGTTCATGTGATGGAACTGAACGTCAGACTGAGGATGGTATTGGGAGGAGCTTTCCCCCCTGGCCTGTGTAGAGACCACGGTCTGCTTCTCCCTCCGACGCCCTGCAGCTTCTCTCCTACCGACATAAGTAGTGCCCCGGACCGATGGTTGGGCTCCCAGCTCAAATCGGAATCACTTTCATCATCCTCCTCCTCCGCGCCGCTCGTCTCATCCGACAATCGACACTTCCCCTTCCATAACTCGTCATCCAAGTCACTGTTGTCGGTGCCCTCGTCCTCTTCGTCCTGTCTCTTATACACATCTAGATGTGTATAAGAGACAGGTGTAGAGACCACGGTCTGCTTCTCCCTCCGACGCCCTGCAGCTTCTCTCCTACCGACATAAGTAGTGCCCCGGACCGATGGTTGGGCTCCCAGCTCAAATCGGAATCACTTTCATCATCCTCCTCCTCCGCGCCGCTCGTCTCATCCGACAATCGACACTTCCCCTTCCATAACTCGTCATCCAAGTCACTGTTGTCGGTGCCCTCGTCCTCTTCGTCCTCGAGCTTCTTTGGAATCCTTCCCTTCGGTGTCTTCACGAAGCCACTTTGCCGCACCAACTCCTCATCCGTCTTCTCAGTTGCGTCCTCGGGGCCCTTCAAGATAGATACATCGTTCTCGTCTGGCTCCGGAATAGCCTCGAAGAATGAACTCCACAGATCAACGTAGCCCTCGCCGTTGGCACCTCTGTTGTTGGCAGCACGCAGTAGTTGCATGTTCCAACGGATGTACACCAGCTTCTCCAATGTTTCGGACTTCAAGTTGTTCCTCCTTTTGGAATGCACGAAGTCCATGGATGACCAATTCCTCTCAGTCAAGGTTGTTGTACTCCACATGCCCATCACTTTGATGGCAATGGCCTGCAAGTCGGGGACATCGCCACCATAAGTCGCCCACCACTCTGCCGGTGTGAGCTTCTCGCAATCAGCCTTCGCATCGGGCTCCCACATCTTCTTGTCCTTTCTTTTGGGCCCGTTCAGCGTGGGCTCCTTGTGAAACTCGTGCAGGTCACTTAAAACATCAAGGTGGTCTGGCCCTTTCCAAGCACCTCCAACCTGTCTCTGCAGGTAACGCATCGCGTTCTACACAATTGCATTGTCCCGATCATAAAGCCACCGTGGATTTCTCCTGTGCGGGTCTAGAAGAAACGCCAGTGCATGAACTGGTTGCCTCATCATCTTCACCCGATCTCTGGCTTTGTCCATGACGCTCGCCCGCTGCTCCTCAGTGAGAACCACGTGAGCCAGTTTCCTTTCAATCAGGTCGTCGTATTCGACGAGGTTTGTTGGCGATGTTCCATCCCGATCCATCCTCCTCAGAATGTTGTACAACGGTTCCATCACATCGACCACCTTCTTCAATTCCATCCACCAGCCGTCTCTCCTCAAGGTGAAGTACACCAGGTCCGCTTTCGACTTCGACTTTGCAGTGGACCAACGCATCCCCGTCCACCGTGCTGCATTTTTTCAATCCACCATATCCGACAACACTGCCCTCCTGTTCTAAAGCCTCTCCAACATCATGTACACTGACCCAAACCGAACTTTTGTGGGACGAAGCAATGTCAGGGAATCGTCCATGGACATCATCAAGCTATTCGTGGAGTGGTGGTTCCGGATGAACTTCACAATCGTGTGGCCTCTCTTGACAGTGCTCTTCACCCAGTCTAGCTTGTTGATGTCTCACAGCAAAAGGCTGCAACAATGCGCAGCGCAAGGAACCCATGGAATCCTTACAATGTCTTTGTCGGTGCGGCGCTCCAAAATATGAGCAGCCTTCTTGTTCACCTCGGCATTGTCGGTGCAGATCGCGTTAATGCGATGCACCCCTATCCCCCTCATGATTTGCTCCCACAACTTTGCCAACGTCTGTGCTGTTTTCTTCCTTGCAGTCATTAACATTGTGGCCACCAAAACTGCACCCTTCTCCTCCGCTGCCCAGAAGTTCATGACGGGGCGATCTCGATGGTCGGATGACCCGTCCGTGATGAATGTACAGCCAGATTCATCCCAACAGGATGTCAAAGGATGCACTTGCTTTTGAATTCGCAAGTAGATGAAGTCGAGCATGACAATTCTCATATGCTTGTACAAGGGCAGCTTGACCTTTGATCGCGCATTCGCCATTTCCAAGTAAACTTCTTAGAGCTTCTGCGTCGTGTTAAAATTCAGGAAGTTAAACGCAATACAAGCACGGAACATCGCCTCCACCCACGCAATATCCAGCTTCTTTTGTGCATCGTTGTCCACCCATCTCTTGATTGATGTCTGCTGCAATGATGCCGCCCTCGTGTTTTACCCTAAACCTTCCACAAGCCCCTCGTCATCAGCGACGACCGACTCTCTTCGGGAAGCTGTTTCTCGGGGTGCCATCCCCGCAGTAGTTGGCGGTTGCTGCTCCTCGTACCCGCAAATGAGCGGCTCCACCTCCCGAGTCTCCATCACAGCAATCGCCCCCTCTTCCGGAATGCCATGCAATTGCCTATAGTTCTTCAGGAGGTACTGCGTCTTTTTGTTGCTCGACAACACCTTCGCATCGGCGACCACGAGCTTGTGTACCATCTCACCTATCCTCAAGGGACACGGCTTCAACAACTTCAAAAAGTGTTCCATTTGCCCTTGTGCTCGTGCCCCTCCAAATTTGCGTGCATAGATGGCACTTCAGCCAATACTCTCCTCGACCCTTCGGCAGGGCTTCTTGACCCTGTATAACATATTTCCACACGTCCCGGGTGCGCTGCAGTTGTTGTTGCCTCGTGTCATCCTGAGGAACGAACAAAGAGGGGTCTGATGCCGGCGTGTGATCCTTTGCGGTCACCCCAGATGTGGGAGCACTGGTACTGGCACTGACCTTTCCTTTGTCCGTCGATCCGGAAGGAGGTCTCCTCCTTCCAAATCCGCCACTACCACCGCCTGCTGCAACGCCACTGCCGCCGCTCGCCATTGAACAGCAACGTGTGGAAGCACTCGCCAACAAACACCGAACAACCCCCCCCCGGGCCCCCCTTTCAACCCCTCTAAAAAAAAAAAAAAAAAAAAAAAACAAGGTGGGATTTGGTGGATGTCTGTGGGACACGAGAAGGAGGAGAAGAAGAAGATGATGATGATTATGAAGAAGAAGAAGAAGAAGAAGAAGAAGAAGGTGGGACTAAGAAGAAGAAGATGATGATGATGATGATTGGCGGTGGAGTACAGCGGCCAGGGGGTGAGAAACAACGACGAGAAGAAGAAGAAGAAGAAGAAGAAGGTGGGACTACGAAGAAGAAGATGATGATGATGATGATGATTGGCGGTGGAGGATGGAGGACAGGGGGTGAGGAACAACGGCGAGAAGAAGAAGAAGAAGAAGAAGAAGAAGAAGAAGAAGAAGATGTAGATGGGTGGTGGAGGATGGAGGGCCAAGGGGTGAGATAGGGTGGGCGAGAAGAAGAAGAAGAAGAAGCAAAGGAGAAGAAGAAGAAGAAGAAGAAGAAGAAGAAGAAGAAGAAGAAGAAGAAGAAGAAGAAAAAAAAAAAGAAGAAGATGATGAAGATGGGTGGTGGAGGATGGCGGACAGGTGGTAATAAAGGGTGGGCGAGAAGAAGGAGACAAGGTGGCCGAGAGGAAGAAGAAGAACAAGATGAGTATTTTAGGTGGTGGAGGATGGCGGTCAGGCGGTGAGGATGATGTAGATGGGTGTGGAGGATGGAGGGCGGGGGATGAGATAGGGTGGGCGAGAAGAAGAAGAAGAAGAAGAAGAAGGTGATGAGGATGGGTGATGGAGGAGCAGAGGAAGATGAAGAAGAAGAAACGAAGGAGGAGGAGGAGGAAAAGAAGAAGAAGAAGAAGAAGAAGAAGAAGAAGAAGAAGAAGAAGAAGAAGAAGAAGAGGAGGAGGAGGAGAGGAAGAAGAAAAAGAAGAAGAAAATGGGAGGGGGGTGAGAAAGGGTGGGCGAGAAGAAGAACAAGATGAAGGTGGAAGATGGGCAGGGGCTGAGAAAGGGAGGGCGACAAAGGATGGAGGGCGGGCGGTGAGAAAGGGTGGGCGAGAAGAAGAAGGGGGGTGGTGTAGGAGACGCGGCCCCACGCGCACTTGCATGAGGCAGATAAAAAAAAAAAAAAAAAAAAAAAAAAAAAAAAAAAAAAAAAAAAAAAAAAAAAAAAAAAAAAAATCAGAAATGGTGGTCGATGATGGCGGGCAGGGGGTGCAAGAAGAAGAAGAAGAAGAAGAAGCGAAGGAGGAGAAGGAGGAGGAGAAGGAGGAGGAGAAGACGAAGCGGAAGAGGAAGAGCAAGAAGAAAAGAAGAAGAAGAAGAAGAAGCGAAGGAGGAGAAGGAGGAGGAGAAGACGAAGAGGAAGAGGAAGAGCAAGAAGAAAAGAAGAAGAAGAAGAAGAAGAAGAAGAAGAAGAAGAAGAAGAAGAGGAGGAGAAGAAAAAGAAGAAGCGAGGGAGGAGGAAAAGAAGAAGAAGAAGAATAGCAAGACGGGTGGAGGATGGCGGGCAGGGGGTGACTAGACAATGGTAGAGAAGAAGAAGAAGAAGAAGAAGAAGAAGAAGAAGAAGAAGATGCGACGACGACGAAGAAGAAGATCTCTCTCTCTCTCTCTCTCTCTCTCTCTCTCTCTCTCTCTCTCTCTCTCTCTCTCTCTCTCTCTCTCTCTCCTACTAACCCACTTACCTTAGCGAGGCAGCGCGATGGCGGGCGTCGGCGGGCGTCGGCGGGCGTTGACGGAGTTGGCGGGCGTTGGCGGGCACAGGCGATCTTCGACCGAAGTGAGGCGTCATGGGGCGTCGACGGCGTTGGCGGGCAAAGTGACTACTCGGCCGAAGTGAGGCGTCGGGGGGAGCGAAGTGACTACTTGGGGGGGAAAGCCCAAGAACGCAGAAAAAAAAACGTCGGTAGCCCCAATTTCAACAATTTGAAATCGCGGCCCATCTGGGCCGTCAATCCTGGAGATCGACGGCGCAGATGGGCCCCGATTTCAAATTGTTGAAATCGGGCC